TGGATTTTTTTTGTTAGATCTTCCAAAGAACTTCAAAATCCTGCCAGAACCTAAAGCAGGGGGAGTTGAGGCTTTGAAAGGTTAAAGGGCTTGCCCAAGATCTGTAAATAGCAAAGACAAATCTCCAAATTCCATCTCTTCTCCTGGTCTTCCCTTACTCCACCATCACGAATTAGATATAATCCTGCACCAGAGTTTTAACCCAGGGATTACAGAAGTTATTTTAAAAGACTACATATGGGAAAAATACATAAATCAAAAGCTCTGGCATGAATTCTAGATAATTCGATTTTAAGAAAAGCAGTGTTTCAGTTCAATTTTCAGTTCCAGTTACACTCTCTCCCCTAAAAATCAAGAAACTCATTTCAAAATAACCAAGATGAATAAATACTCTTTTCAGTAGAGCAGCAGATCAGGTAGATGGATATCTTAAAGATACATGTTCAAAGTTTTGCATCTCATCACTGCTTACAGCCCTCAAGTCTCGATCCTGACAACAGTCAATAGCTTTTATGAACAAGCATCTTCTGGGAGAGACGCTGGACTACGTGGCAGATAAACAGGCAGATAAGATGGTGGAGAAATACAAAACGTCAAACATTCATCTACCACAGGTATCAGCCCAGGAGCTTGCAGTAATGTTTATGCAGATAAGAAAAAAGATCAAAAAGAAAGCTATGCAAGTACTTTGGTTCTATTATTTATTATAAGATTTTGGCTTTGTAAATATAAATCAAATACAAATGTACAGCACTGCCAAGGAAATAAATTATATTTGATATCTATGCATTAATATATTCCAGTAAACCAGACTAAGGAACAAATCCAGTCATAATTCAGTCAAGAATCTGTACAGAACCATACTATTAAATTTCTATGGAATGTGAAGAACAAAACAAGTTTAAGCAACACAGTTCTTCAAATCATATCAAAAGCAAAATGACTGAAACTCCTAAAGCAATGTTACTAATTTATCATTGTTACAGCTTAAGAATGTAGCCACATCACATAAATTGCTTTTCCCTCATGTAGCATCTTTGAACCGCTCAATCTGAAAAAAAAAATAAAATCCAAAGTGTATTACAAAGAGACTGCACTTTTATAGCAAAGGAGGTAGCAGATGGTGAAACAAGAAATAATATAATGGCATGAAGAATTATATGCATTTTGCATTGGACTTATCATTTATATGATAAACACACAAGTGTACAAAAAAATTGAGACACTCAATTTTTTTCTCTTGAAGGAAAAAAATCTGTTTGGTTTAGGGTAACGAGTTGGAAGATACATGGGTTTTTTGGTTATTCTGAAAGGGACTGTAGCAGACAGTAACAGCTAAAATGTAACTCACTACGAAATGCCTTCCTAACAATTTTGGGATGTTACAAGGTGTAGATCTACTTTAATTACAAGGAGGGTAAAGACACTCAGAATCCTACACAACTGGCACATTATCACTATGAAAATTTGCAAAGTTCAGCTCTGCCTTTCCTGGATCTCATCCAGGAGGAGTAATGGACCTCATCTTTTTTTCCTCTTCTAATTAACAAAAAAAAAAACAAACCAAACCAGATTCTCTTCCACTGAATTCGATATTTTTCTGCAAATTCCTGTTTTCAGAAAACAGCAAGGGGAACATCAGGAACACTTAATTTCCTTCAGGTAATCCATCACATTGATACAATTTTTGTACCCTTAATTCTATGATGCCTCTAATACTCATGACCTGCTTGCTGCTGTTCTATGTAGCCATAGTATCTGAGAACTTCGCTGGTGAATTCAGTTATTTCAGTCGTTTTCCCACACCAAGAGCCTCTTCAGTTGTCCAGCTGATTTGCTATAAATTTTCATGGATTATAGGCCACCTCCCTGACATCCTCCCCATTCCTTGTTATGTCTTGTTTCCTGCAATCGTGGGAAAGGAACACAGGACATTTCATCTCTAATCTGCCTGATGTTCTTGGTGGTCCTTACTTCCTTTTGTTTCCCTGCTTAGCAGCTTTTGATGTACACAGCGTAGAGATAGAAGAAAGGGTATGAGAAGTCCTTCTTCCCAAGAGAGCCGCAAATTAAGCTCCTTTGCTAGCACCTCAAAATGCCCGAAGATTTTCTAAAAAGCAGTATCAACCAATAAATTACAAATACTTTTTTAAATCACCCCCAAACTGCTATGAAAGTTTAGTGTATAGAGTGAACATGAAAACGCTAATTATGAGGAATAAAAAATAAACTGACTTGTGTTTTTAATTGGCCACGGCTAACAGCTAGAAGAAAGCAAGCAACAGAAATACATATTGGACAGCACATTTCATTATTTAAAAATGTTAACACTTTTCACTGGGAGTGGTTTAGCTGCTGTTTCATATAAGCTTCAGAGAAAATGTGAAAAATAATTCTATTGTCTCCATTTATTTTTTTTTTTTAAATCACGCTATTTTTAATAATTTACAAGCTTAAAAAAAAAAAGATGTTTTCTTCTCAATGTATTTATTTTTATTGTTTTTCTTTAGAAAAAGAAGACCTGTGTAAAAACTATGCAACTAGTTTTTGAGAAAGAATTAAAAAAGACTGCCTGACCTGCTAAGCACTCTGGAAGAATCTGCTAAAAGTCTAAGAAATAGAAAAGCTGAGCTGCAGAAAGATTGCACTGACTATTTTGGTACTAAGTCTCCTGTCTCCTGTGCCACTCCTATCTCGCTTAAGCAGAAATGACAATGCACAGCCAGCTGCTGACGGCCAGCTTCAACAGTAGAGCAAATAAATTTGTTTAAGAAGGTCTGTCCTGCAGGTATGTCCGAGTTCAACTCCTGGCAGTGCTACACCCTTGCTGTGACACCAGGGAAGTTTCTTAACCTCAGTTAAAAAGAGGCATCTATATTCTTTAGCAGTTCATAAATTGTCTTCCTCTTTATAAAATGGAAAAACACCACCAACATATACATTCCGATTCTAATACTCTCCAGTCGTTCTTGAAAGATGGGTCTTCAGATTCAACGAGTGAACACTGAAGAAGCCATTCCTGTTTAATTACACTCAAGAAAGAAAAACAAGAGGGTGTTTGCAAGTGTAGGGCTCATGTTCTATAGGGCAAGCACCGTGTGCTGAGGTTTGAAACCTGACAATTTCTGTAAGAAGAACGACATTCAGTTCTCTAAAAAGCTGTAAGGGCACTTCCAGATTTTATCGCAGTGAATGCCTCAGCTTGCTGATGACAACAGAACTTCTGATGTCATGGCAAAAACTAAAGAATGTGCCATAAGCAAATGTAAACTGAAATATATTTCAGTCTTCCCAGAGAAAAGACATTCACTCTGAACGAAGGAACAGTAGTAGAGTACTGGTAAGAGAATTGCTAGCGAGATTTGATGTCTCTTGGTGAAGATTTTAACGAAGATTTTTCTCTTGAGGAAGGTGATGCTACTTCTCGTGACACGCTTTCACAAGCTATTAGCAGTTTCTCAATTTCCGAATAACATTCATTTAGTTACTAAGTATATGCTATATGCTCAGCTATATGCTATATGCTACCTTTAGTGTAGTACTTTCCTTAATCCAAAAATCATAGTAGCAAGCGTTTTTCACAATTTATATGGCTTAAGCACAATTTCATTTCCTGCTCCTACAGGAGTACCATCAACTTGAAGTTCCAGCCATTTTTATAGAGCCATTAAACAATTTAGTGTATTAAATCTGCTTGCCTTTTACTTTTGTGCTTGCCTTCATTTTTGTCAAAACCACTTTCCCTCCATCCATTGCTCCTACAAAAATAACATGCACTATTTCTTACTTCTAATTTTCTATTCTTCTAGCGCTGAAAGTATTGGCATATTATCTTCATCCACTTTGGTCTTAGCAGCAGACCTGTCCTCAGAACAAAATGGAAGTCTTTGCCTTAGCAACTGTTCCCCTCTAATTTATACTCCAAATGCCTCGTAATATAGCAAAGTGCTGATACTGCTATTTTACAGGGAGGAAATCATGTCACATGGAAGTATATTCAAAATCCGTTACAAGCAGGAAAGTGAGGCGGCATGACTAGTAAATCATTTCAGAAACCTGATGAGTTATTCTCACCTGCTCCATACCGAGCTGCTGAAGCCAGTGGTGGCCGGTGCACAGCTCCTGAACCACTCCCGCCTCCGAATATTTCAGGTGTGGTTCCTGAGGCTGCCAGTGCTGCATCTTGCAGCAGGGCCATGCTGCAGCAGCAGTGGCTGAATAAATCCAAATTATTGGATTTGGAAGCAACAAGTCAACAAGGGCTGCTGAAGCAAACACCACCCTAGCACTCACCGCTGAGACAAGTCCCAACCCGCATTTCGGGAGCCCTCAGCTCTCCAAAGTAAACAGTATGGGGGGGTTGGCTCTTACTCATACAGGAATTTCGGTGTGTAAAGTAACTCATAGCATAAGTACAGCCATACTTGCCCTACACAGTAAACACTGAAAAGCAGCCATGACATGACAGGCATCTAACACAGGCATCATGGCAGGTTCTTCCATCTGAAATGCTAATGTTTAGAAACTACAGCCTAGCTTCCAATCTGCGTTTACTCCAACTGGCTGTACACAGTCATCCTCATGCCAACATTGGTCTGTGGCTTAAGTGGCTCTTTACTCTCCTCCATAGTCACCTCCTTCTAGACACATTTACAGAGATCGTAAGAGCCACAGGGATCTATCAGACATATTTACTGAATTCCTTGAGTACGACATGAAGCTACTCAAATACATGGCATACTCATGGGCTAAAGATGAAGGTAACGGGCAATAGCATAGTTTCAGCCTCTCTATTGGAACACTAGAAAAATGTCAACATCTAATTCACAACAAATCTAAATCCTAGTTTATTAATATAAGCAGACTGTAAATAAGAGCAAAAATTAGATATTTTTACTGACTCAGCAAACAGATTTTCATGTTTCAACCAGTTGCCTTCCTGTAAGGCCCACAAATATCAGTTCTTTCTCTAAATCAAGCTCTGACTAGAAGGACGAAGTATGCTACGAGACATCTTGAGAATCTTTTACTTTGAAGACAACATGAAGTATCCTGGGTCCTCCCTGGGGAGCCTTTTTGTGGTGCCCAAGAGAAGGAATCCTAAAGACAAGTATGTTCTAAGCTTGGGGGCTCTCAAGGTAGGTGTTGGCTAATTGAATCCTTGGAGGGAATGGTTTCTACCCTTTGGGATCAGGAACAAACCTCAGCTGAGCAAGCTACAGGAATTAATTTAAGGGAGACAGACCGCATGTCTGTTCTCCTGCCTGAAAAGTTTACTGTAGTCCCCTCTAAGTGATGGGGTAGAGAAAAGCAAACAAGCTGGGCCAAGAGCTCTCATCGTACCTACAGCACACACATCCAACATGGCCCAGTGCCCCTCCTCTGCAGTCAATTCTGAAAAGCAAGCAGGGAAGAGTGGCAAGTACTCCGTGGTGAGCAGAGCTGGGTAAGGTTACTAGTGTTTCTTCCACAAGCCATCTTGGCTGAGGGTCTTGTAGCCTTGAATGTTTTTATGCTCACAGCACTTTGTAAGATTTATTTTTCTATTTTTTTTCATTTTACAGTTGGGGAACCAATACACCAAAAGCTGTGTGTTTGGAAGGCCCAGCCGAGGTACCCAACTTCAGCATCACAATTACCAGGGTGTGCAATTTCAGAAGTTTGACAAGTGTTTTTTTCACCTCTGCCCCCAGTGAAATCAAAATAATTACATCCAACAACTAACACTATCCAGGCTATTCTGCTGCAAATAGTCCTGGGCACCTCTAGTTAGCTTACAGCTCAATGCATTATTTTGGTGGCTTTATGCAAAACAGAAATAGTCCTCATCACAAATTTCCACTATAGACAAAAATAACATGAGCACATTAAGCTGCTTTCGCTTGTCACCCCTGATGAACTTCATATGGCAACCAGACCAAAAGCCCCCGCTGAGCCCCCGAAGCTGAATGTGAAACGGAAATAACACAAAAAAACACTGCCAGCATCCCAGAACATGACTCATGCTGCTTAAGTACCAAATCATTACATTTAGAAGATTCTCGTCTGGATATTTTGTATGGATAGACCAAGGACTCTGAAATGACATTTGCTGAAGAAAGTAGACTGAGCGCCGGGGCTCCTGACTTGGTACAGTCTCCTCCTGTGCTGGTTAACTTCGGGCAAGTCACTGCGTATCTCTGCACTACCATTTCCAAATGCAAAACTAATTACACTAATCCCCTTTGTGCAGCACTTGAACATCTATGGCTGAAAAGAATTATCCTAAGAACTATTTATGTTATTAGAGCAAAGAACTACAGCACTATGCGGAAAGCCAGGGCCAAGTCTCTTCTGTCAGTCTATCCCTCTTGACAGGTATGAACTCTTAAGTTCAGAAATTACTACAAAATGCTGTGGGTAATTGTCGGACCTTCCTGAGCACAGTGAAATGGGGAACTGCTAAGGGAAAACCACTGAAACAGCACAGGGAATGCTGTTAACTGTCCTCAGGGCCAGATTTTCAAAGATGTCTGAAGACAGAGATGAGGTCCATACATGGTGGGATTTTCAGAACAAACATTTATTCCAAGTCTCACTAAAATCAATGGCAGCTAAGTAGTGTAGCCTTCGCAGACAGTCCCTGCAACTTTCATCATTTTAGTCATTGAAAACGTGACCCCAAGCAAACAAACTAAAAAGACGTTGTTTAATGTTACTTGTATGACTATCGTGGAAAACTTTTTTAGACAGAGAAGTGACCCGTAAATTGCAGTTTAGCAATCCACCAATGCTAATGAAATCCCGTGCTGCCTGCTCTGTGATAATTTTTTCCTATTAAAAGCTTGTTCTTTTTTTTTTACCCTAATAAGCATATCACTAGTCTAAGCACATTCAGTGTTCAAAGTTTAAATTCATAGTTAAAACAGAGAGGTTGCTCACCAGTAACCAGAATTCTTTAAGACATGAATTCTTCATATATATTCCAACTAATGAGCTACGTTATGTCCTTTCACTTAAGAGTACTCTTGTATCTTTGCAATGAATAACTATATAAGGTACAGACTGACGGTGTCACTTTCAGTTTCCTTCCAACCATTGAAATAAACTCACAGAACTTCCAAAAATGCCGAGGGAGAGCAAATTAATCAAAATCAAAACATAAACGTGAACTGTACATATGTCTGTATATATATCTCTAAAATGCCTATGAGTAAATCACCTGATTTTCTCTTTTTGAGTGACAGTGTGTAATTATAGTTTATCACAGTGACTTAAACAACTACACCTGGCCACTAAGCACCTGAGGTCCTGGAGTCTTGTACAAACCACTCCAGCACTCCTTTACCAATAAATAGGTTTGAGTAATATTACAGCACGTGGTGAAGGTAGGGATGGAGCTCCAGATAGCATCATTTCCAAGATCTCAACTATTTCTTAACAATGTTGTGTGCTCTGGAGAAGTACTCTGTAGTAACAGCAGGAGATTCATCTTAGCAGTCTGATAGCAAATTTTGACACGGTCTCCAGTTGACTTTGACAGTCTGTGTGGAAATGGCTGAACTGTTAAACCCTTCAGAAAACACACATCAATAGCCTGAAGCGTTTGAATGTGTGAATGTAGAAGTAGACAACCCCTGGCATAAAAGTATAAAAACCAAATCCTGCTTTAGAGGCAGAACACCAGAAATAAAATTCAGAAATTAAATAAAACCTGCTGATTAAAAAGTGTAATTCTACCATGATTTGAGGCAGAAAATTAAGAAGGTCATTCATAGAACACATGTATCTCCTGCAAAAGCCTCTGAGGAAGTGGCCTTGCTGAAAGCAGAAGCAGTAAACACCAAGCCCAAGACCTTAATGAGGCTAAGTGAGAGTTCAAACCCTGTTAGCCTTAAGCAGATATTCCATAACAGCTTTAATAAATGATACAGAAGGGGGAACAAAAATGGTAAGAAGCTACGCGGATCTCATTCCCAGAAGGCGCAGCACGTGGGTGCTGGATGGCTTTCCTCGTTGAAGTATTCCTGCTTCTTTCCATAAGAAAAGCCCACAGATGACCAAAAAAAAAAAAGAGCCAGCTAGAGAGACACTGCTAAATGGGTAAGATGCCTGTCTGCCCCACAGCACTGGAAGATGGGTTTCAACCCTTTCACTTACACACGACAGGCTGGCTGCTATCATGAGGGCTCGTGGTGGCATTTTCAGTGGCCTTGATGCAGAAGAAATAGGTAAAATTATTTAAGCTGGGTTACACAGGAGCTAAAGGAGGTCAGAATAAGTGATCAGTGTAGTTCTGCTAGATAAGACCTTAAAGGTCTGGTACTACTGTGTATCTGTGACCTAAAGTGAAAAATATTGTTGTTGAAATTCTTTCCAAAAACAATGCCAAGACAGATGTCCCAAAAAATGTTGAACAGACCAAAATAAAAATAGGAAGAACCGCAACTTTCAAAAGCACATGCATTGTCCTAAATCTCTCTTTTGCGTAAGTGCATAGTACATTATGTACTACTTTTATTAGCAAATGAAGTCATGTAAAAACTACTAACAATAAGAAACATCAATGCTCATACACAAATTCCAAGATATTTTCAAAACCATTTTTTCCATTTCTAGAAAAATCAACCAAAAAACCACCAAACCCTCTTTTCGTTAACATTCTATTTGACATGAGTATGATTTCACTCACAAATACTATTCAAAAACATTTTTCTTGAAAGCATTTTCAAAATGAAAACTGTTTAAAACTTTTTTCCATGTACTTCTAATATCTGTGTGAAATGGAATATAGCTGGGCTGTGGATGAAGCGTCTCTAAGCAGACTGAAGTATTTTTGGAAGAACACTGAGAGAGTTCTTGTAAATATTAGACTGCTATGGTTATGCAATATGGTCTAATATTGGATTATTTGGAACTCCTCTGGAAATCCATTCCAGGTTAATACTGATTATGAATATCAATCACTTTTACGAGGAAGCTTGCAGCTTTAAAGTTCGTATTTCTACAGAACCACTCTCCACAACAGGATGTGGCTTGGGCTCTTTTTTTTTTTCCACCTGTTACTCTATAGCAACACACTGCAAGTTCTTCCTACTGTAATTGAAGCAGGATCCTGACAGACCGACTGCTAATGATAAAATGTGCCTTTGTATGTAGAAGAGGAACATTTCTGTGCCAGCAGATGATTGTCACATGTAGATCTGCGATTGCCTAAGTCCTGTTGACATGTGTACACAGCACCACATAAATTGACTCCCCCTCCCCTGTTGATACACACGTAAAATCCATGCCCAATAACCTTGTAAATATAGATATATTGTTTTAACTGCAATACAAACAGGTATTAGTTTT